CTGCTTGCATCTACCCAGCGCTAGTAGGAAGAGGATTGTTGCTTCATTCTATCAGAGGGAAGCCTGAAGGAGTGTTCTGACAGACATCCCATTTGTTACTAAATTGTCCGTCATATGTAATACCTAGTTTATTCACGCACACATTTCCCTGATGTTCTGGCTCTGATCCCTTTAGTTACCACCCTGTCATCTTTCAAATCTCATTTGAGATTCACTTCTGTGTGAAGCCTGAAAAAGTGATTTGGTTATCAGTTCACATGCAAATCCTCTGTCTTTCAAAGGACTACTGAATATCTTTATGTTCATGTGACTCACTGGCATCACTGCATGATCATACAGCTGCCACTCTGATTTTTCTTTACCGCATTCCTTCCATAACATTTGTTACACTCCTTGTGTCATGGCTAATTCTAGATTATCAGCTTTCCAAGCAAAGGCCATGGTCTAGTTGTTCCTATGAAGGCTTGACCTTTACCATCTCTGCATGGTAAAGAAGAAAAACAATATATATAAAAATAGATGATATTAATAGAATTTTCTCCTAAGTGGCAAGTGGCAAAGGAGGCCGCATAGTAGCTTCAGTGTCCCAATTACAGAGCATATAGTGAGTTTAAGCTTCATTGTAAAACCCCATGTTTTGGCATCCCCAGTGTCCTGTCACGGCATTACAAAGGCTGGGTACTGTGTTAATGACATTGTACCCACCTACATCCTGTGGTTTCCTATTATCTTCTGACATTTTTTTCATTTGGAAACAGATAAGGAGTAAAGCTTATCAGACTCTGCCAGAAGTTTTTAGGTTAAGATCAAATTACTGTAAACGTTAAGCAATGATTTATAGTTATAAAGATGTTTAAAAATATTTGTGTTGTAGTGTGCATAAAATGGTCTCAGTTAAGAACTGAATTATTCATACAACTGATACAACGGGGCATGAAACTCCTATATTGCAATATATTGTTCCTTCCTTTGTGCCTGTTCAAGGGTGTTGGGGCTCTACTCTAAATTAGATGATTGAAATGACCCTCCCCAGTCCACTTTCACCATGGACCACATTAATAATACAATTCACAGCCCTAGGAGACTAAAACAGGTATGCCAGAAGAACCAAGAAGGTGACAGACTGTGACTCAGATTAGGAACAAGAAGCGGAGGATGGATTTTCTTCAACCAGCTTTACTCCTGTAATCACATGAAATCATATCCAATACCGTATCAGTGAAATCCAACAAGCCATGCAATGTATTCAAGCCAGCAACTCTGCATCAGTGAACCTCTGAATCTTTCTTACTACCAATTCCCTGAGCTGTTGCCTCAAGTCAAGTATCAGGTCTGTCCATTTATGATTCTCTATTTAGAACACTAAGAAAGTAATCACGTGAAATGTTGGCTATTCCTTGATAAAACATCTTAGCACACTAGGTGGATTTCAAGAGACACCCAGCACCATGTGATAAAGATCCCTAGTGTGTCATTTCATTAGATCTGCAATAAGTTAAAATAAATGAGATATGCTAGGATCCTAATCATCTTTCAAAGATTAAACATGTGATGCATGAAGTATTCTGAGAAATTTTCAGCCTGGGGAATACCTCTGACGTGTTTAGCCATTTAGGCTCTACAACTGGTGATAATGGAGGAAAAACTATGATACATGACTGAAGTGAAGAACCTTTTGGTCTTCCTCAAGCAGGAAAAATGCCATGATAATGTACGTGTTTCCACAATTTGTGCAGCTGTTAGTTATGTGGTCAAGAATGCAAAGCTTGTTGTGGATAAAACATTTAAATTATAAAAATGTGAGTGTTAAAATTATTACATTTTATCTATGCTCAGCTTCAAGAATGGACACTTTTTTACATTATCTTCACTGTAATTATTAGGTTATGCAATAGGAAAGTAAAATAGCAGCATGGTTTAGCCAGAGTGGATAAACAATTTGTGTAACTAAATCCTACAGAACTGTATAGCCACTCCATTTATATCTTTACAGAGCCACGGAGTAAAACTGCATCAGATACAGGTGCCTATACTGCAAGAATGCCTCTGATTGCTGGAAAGACTGTTTATTACCATCAGTCCTCAAGGACTGTCAGTCCATGTTAGAAAAGCAACAAAGATTTAGAAACCTTCGGAGTTGTCTCTGTGGAACTATCTTTGACCCTTTATTCTGATGTAAGCAAGGGTGGAAATTTAAACGTGAACCTGCTTTCAAGACAGTTTAAACCAATACACGTATTTTGGAACATCACTGGAACAACATGTCTGTAATTAGCACAGTTCAAATGACTAGCAGTTAACTTATGAAACTGTAGTAACGTCTTCCCTTGCAAATACCTGTCAAGCTCAAATATATGCACACACCAGCTACTGTCAGTAATATTTTATGCCAAACCAGCAGTTTTGTGGGAAAGTACCTTTCCTACTTTCTCATCTTTTCATGTATTGCTGCAGATTTTGAGAAATCACTCAGGTATTATTCTGACCTTATTTCATAGTTTGGCCCATATTTTGCCCACATCTGATGATTTCCCATTCTTTGATCCTTTAATTGCCTTAATAAGTTCTCCCACTGCAAATGATTCTGCAACACTGTTTAGACTGGAGGCTCTAACGTCCATAGGCCATTTTCTGGAGGTACAATCCAAAATTTAAGAGCAAGTATGAATTTTTGGAACAAGGGCCCTAAAAAACTTACACCTGGAGTATTGTGTGCAATTCTGGGCTCCCCAGCATAAGGGGGACATGGAACTTCTGTAGAAGCTCCACTGCAGAGCAATGATGATGATTAAGGAACTCAAACATCTATCTTATGAGTAGAAGACTCAGGGAGCTGGGCCCGTTTAGTCTGGAGAGGAGAAGACGGAGAAGGGATCCGATCGATATGTGTAAGTACCTGAGAGGAGAATGTAGGGAGCATGTGACCAAACTCTTCTCCGTGGTGGCCAGTAACAGAACAAAGGGGTAATGGATACAAATTGAAATGAAGTTTAATCTGCATATGAGGAAGAACTTCTTTCCTGTGAGGGTGACAGAGCCCTGGAACAGGCTGCTCACAGAGGCTGTGAAGTCTCTTTCTCTGGAGATCTTCCAAACCCACCTGGATGCCACCCTGTGCCACGTGCTCCAGGTGCCCCTGCTGGAGCAAGAGGGGTTGGAGTAGATGATCTCTAGAGGTTCTTCCCAACCTCAACCATTCCGGGATTCTGTAAATTCTCCCCTTTCAAATGGCAGGTGGTCATTGCACCATTGCACTATTACCAAAATCAATAGCTTGGTAAACTGTTCCTCATTTTCAGCTTCCTTAGCTAAATTAAGATACCTTTCTAATTTTCCAAGAGGGAAAAGTAAAAAAAAAAAAAAAAAGAATTTGAGAAAAACAGACAGTATTTTGTCCTGTTTGGTGAAATAGTTTATTTGATTGTTAGACAGGGTAAATTATTCCAAAAATAAACATGAATGACATGGAAGTCAATTCATGTTCACATATGTTAGCATGGGGTTTAAGGGAAACCGGCATCGTGGGGCTCCTCTTGCAACCCTTTTTGTACATTTCTAGGCCTGGTTCTCTTGAGAAGATGTTTCCTCAAAAGAATGAAAGCACACCTCCCCAGGAAAAAAAGAAAAAAAAAAGTATTTATTTTCAATAAAATGTGAAAGACACTTTTAAAAACCCTCACATGCAAAGCAGTTGCTGTCCCCTCCTCGCACCAGTGCCCGTGCCTGTGCCCGTCCTGTCAGCACGTTCCCTGTGAGGACTCAGGGGCGCACGCAGCCCCCCTGCAAACGAACGAGGTTCCTTCCTCACGAGGGTGCACCAGGCAGCCGCCTCTGCCCCAAAGCGAAGCGCGGCTTGTGGCCATCTGCAACGCGAGGGCCGCCGACGGGCTGCGACTGCGCGGGATGCGGGCGCCCTGCACGGGCATGGGGGACACCCGGGGCGAAGGGACGTTGTGTGTGAGGGGGATGCGAGCCCTTCCCATGCGCTCTCGGCACCTTGGCCACCATTACGCCGCGCACGGCCCGG